AAGTTCCTTATATGTTCTTTAAAGCCTGGTTTCGAACTTTTTTCACTAAAATACCAGGTTATAAAAAGAAAAAAATTTTAAGTTTGGTCGGGGCTAGTGATTTTACGGTCAGGCCTAGTCAAAATTATGGGAAGTAGCCCAACTTGTATAGTACTCATAAAAGAAAATGTCAAACCCTGGTTTGATACAATGACCTTGTTAACAAATATAGTCTACAGATAAGTCAAATGTTTACTGATCTTTTTCATACATAAAGTGTTAGGCCATTATTTTTATACTGAATTGTCTACAGATTTATCCATTCTCCCTATTATGACAAGGAGCTCACAGCAGGATTCCCTGTAACCAGTTGACAGGGGATGCTTATTTCTCCATGACAACTGATCCCACCTCTGATGTTTTAAAGATCTATGTTTGCTATGCTCACAATAAGTAATGTTTCAATGCACCTTTGAGCTTAAATACTGTTTGTAATCTTCATATTTCAGTAAATTCTAATAGATGGGAAACAATTTGTCTTTTCAGTCATGAACATTTTTTTATCAACAAACCCTGTAAAAAGAAGGACCTCTGTTCTACAGCTTGTGGTGGATCATATAACACATGATATCAACCAAGTTTTAAAGAAGGATAGGTAGCCACAATAGAAAGATTTAAGGATTGTGAGAAACCAAATATGACACAATTCAGAATAAAGTCCATGGGAGTGTGAAAAAAAAAAGAATAGTAGAGTGTAATCCTAAGGACTTTCTTCAGATTTCCACAAAGTCAGGAAAATACTGTTGAACTCATGAGTGAGTGAGCGACAAAATTAACAAAACTCATGATTTTCAAAAATTCAAGGAAGATGTGCGAGTTGAGACTAAGAAGGATTTTAGGAGTTTTGATGACAAAGATTCAACCATTGGAAATATGGCTATCTGAACTTGGATCTCATTATTGGTAAGTGAATTAAACATTTATATTAATTAATTATCTTGATTGTTAATGACCTAGCAATTTTAATTACTACCATTTAATTTTAACTAATTTTTACATGTAGCTTCTCACATTGATTTTTTTTTTGAAATACATGAACATATATTTTTAATTTTCATGAAAGCTAATGGACAAGGTGCATGTGTGACTTAACACCCCCCCCCCCTTTTTCCAGTTTTTAGCTCACCTGAGCTGAAAGCTCAAGTAAGCTTTTCTGATCACACATTGTCCAGCGTCTGTCCATTCATCTGTAAACTTTTCACATTTTCAACTTCTTCTCAAGAACCACTAGGCCAATGTTAAGCAAAGCTGGTACAAAGCATTCCTGGGTAAAGGGGATTCTAAATTTTAAAATGAAGGGCCAAGTTTCCCTCCAAGGGGAGATAATCAAGAAATGCAAAAATAGGTTGGGGACATTGAGACATCTTCTTTCAAGAAGATAAGCTTTCTGAGGTAGTATAGATTATAAATTATTCAAATCTTGCCCCCGCGGGGCATGATGGGGCCACAAATTAGGGGATGAAAATTTTACAATGAAATATATAGGAAAAATCCTCAGATATCTTCTTCTCAAGAACCACTGTGGCAGAAAAGCTGAAACTTATATAAAGGCTTCCTAAGGAATATTAAATTATAAATTGTTCAGATCATGCCCCCCCCCCCCCGGGGTAGGGTGGGACCACAATAGGGAATGGATGTTTTACATTGAAAATATAGGAAAAACATCTTTAAAAATCTTCTTCTCAAGACTACTTGACTATTAAAGATGAAATTTAGTTGAAAGTTCCTGAGGTAGTGTAGATTGTAAATTGTTCAAAACATGTCCCCTGGGGGTAGGGTAGGGCCACAATAGGAAATCAAAACTTTACATTAATATATATATACATATATATATATATATATATATATATATATATATATATATATATATATATATATATATATATATATATAGGAAAAATTTTAAATATCTTCTTCTCAAGAAATACTGGACTAGAAAAGATGAAAATTAGGTGTAAGCTTTCTTAGGTAGTGTAGGTTTTAAATTGTTCAGATCATGGCCACTGGGGGTAGGGTGGGGCCACATTTTCAGGGATTACATTGGATAAATCTTTAAAATGCTTAATTCTTCTCAAGAACAACAAAGCCACGATGAAACATGATAATGTAAGAAGCATCCTTTGGTAGTGTAGATTCATTTTTTATTAAATGATAGCCCCTATATATAGGGTTGGGCCACAAAAGACGATCAAAATTTTACATAGGAGTACATGTATATTGCAATGGGGAAAAAATCTTTAGCAGAACAGAAGGCCAAAGTGACCAATAGGTGAGTGTTGTTGCCCATGGGCCTCTTGTTTTGTCAGCCAACTAGCTTTGTTTTGAGTCTATATAATCTCATAAATGCTTTCTCATTCAAAACTTACACAAAGTCTAGAGTAAATATTCATTTAATTAAAAGTAGGGATGAGTATCAAAATGCAAAAAAATTTAATCATGACAATATTTTGACTTGTGTTTTATGATGATGATATATATTGATGCATATCCCTTAATTTTTACTTTTGTTCTATATGTTCTATAGAATATTAAAAAAAATTCCTAGAAGTGTCCACTGTAAAATTGTGAAGAATAAATGTATTCTTCAATCATTATGAAATATGGTTTGTTTATGAATATAATTTATCATGTTTATAGAATCAGTAATCCAAAATTCTATATCTAAAAAAAAAAAGTACATTTGTAAAGTACAGTGAAGTTGTACTTTAAGATGACTTGAATTCTTTTCTGATTTTTAAATTGACAACAAAAAAAGAGATAATCAAGAAACGACAAAAATAGGGTGGGGTCATTAAAAAATCTTCTACTCAAGAACCACTGGGCCAGAAAAGCTGAAACTTATGTGGAAGCATCCTAGGGTAGTGTAGATTCTAAATTGTTAAAATCATGACCCCCAGGGATAGGGCGGGGCCACAATGGGGTATCAAAGTTTTACATAGAAATATATAGGAAAAATCTTTAAAAATGTTCTTCTCAAGAACCACTGGGCCAGAAAAGATGAAACTTATGTGGAAGCATCCTTGGGTAGTGTAGATTCTAAATTGTTAAATCATTACCCCTGAAGGATGGGCGGGGCCACAACGTGTATTACAAGGGGAAATCTGGTAAAGAACGGAATGTTTAAAGCTTCTTAGGTGAGCGATGTGGCCCATAGGCCTCTTGTTTAAAGGTCAGAATCATTATAAATGAACTCAGTCTAATGTACATGTGTACAAGCATCTTTTATGTATTATTTGGAGAATGAGACGGGTTCTGTATCGTAGATACAATTTGGGGGTGGACGAGTTCGTAGCACGAGTCTTTACCCCCAAATTTGTATCTACGATACAGAACCTGTCAAGTTCTCTAAATGATTTGTGACACGATCGATCAAAAATAGCTCCGCCCACTTTATATCTGTGCAGCATCCAAACTGCAGTCAGAGTTCTCTAGATGAGGCCCCGACGGGAAGTACGCATCCACTGCATATATATATTTCCAGGGAAAACAAAATGTTCGGTCAGATTAGTTTTGACAATTTTATGGGGTTGATCTAGATGTAATCGAGTGATGGTCAGTCTTAATGGATAAGATGGAGGATTTAATCGTCATTGTTGTGGTATAGGACTGGAGATTGATCATAATATATTTCAGGGGTTTTAAATTATCGGTTTAATTAGATTTACAAAAAAGGATTTACAGAAAACTCTTCGAAGGAATTTGATGTCGCAGATTTTTATTTTCTAATTGAATTGCGACATTAAAAATGAAGCAAAAGAGATGTGCGGTTGTCTTCAGCAAAAAGGATTTTAAAAAATAAAAACATGGAAAAGATGGACTTGAATGATTTTGCACGTGGAGAGCGGATGTTTCCGTTATTGTGAATTTTCCTTTTCGTTTGGAGCAAAATTACGTGCAGATTCTGTGTGGAATAATTTTTAAAAAGTGATTGAGAAATTTCGACATTTTACATTCCCAAGGAAATACTTTGTACCGGCTATTACTCCCAAAATTTATAATAGGAAAACATAAGCATTTACTATTTGTAGTGACTTTGGATAAATTGTATCAGATTATTTTATTTTTCAACCGTATTTTAGATACAGAATGATTATAATTTAATTATATACCCTGTGTTTTATGGTAGTGTTAAATTTAGATTTCACATAATACATAAATGCACATAATGTAAACCAACTTTTATTCCCGTGCTAGAAATTATCGCGAAGTTTGCGAGAGCCTCATCATCGCAAATATTTCTCGGCGCAAACCAGTCCTTAAAGACTCTGTTTCTATCAAAAATAGATTAAGAAAAGGTTTGATCGCAAAAATTCCACAGCAATACATGGACACTGTCATTATATTCATATGGGAGGCAGGGGGTATCATATAGTAAGCTTATATAACAAACGATTCCATAAGTGGAATGGTTAACAACATAAATAGTGTTGTGAGTATGAAAGAAATTGATTTTTACCCAGGGACCCTTCAACAGAAACAAACCAGAGATCCACTTTTGGAATAGTATTTTGAGTACATTGGTGTGACTCTTTTCGATAGAAATAAAGGTTTATCATTTAGTTTGTTTGACCATTTTATATCTACAGAAAAAAAAAACGGAACCATTGCAAGAAAGAACAGGCATTTATTTATTTCAGACATATATTTATATAAAGATGTTTAAAAGATAACAGATAGAAAAATGAAAGATGGACACTTGGATGTTTGCATTGTCTTCCTGCATATAACAATTGTTTACATTTTAAATTTTATTCAATAAACATTCAAACATGGATTTATAATAAAAAAGTAAATTAAATATACATATGTGTTTATGAGGGCCGGGTTATCAAAAAGTTCATAGACTGAGGCTTTAGAGTTAGTACTATGTAGTCTGAGCTTACAAAATTTATCTGGAGCATAAAACAATAAAAATAAAGGAAAAGTTCAAATTTTAGCTTGATACGTTATTTCCCAAATTATTAGGGCCTAGCAAGGATTTGCGGGTGGCCTATAGTAATCACTCTGTCTGTCTGTCTGTCCGTCTGTCACTCTTCCGTCCACAAATTTTCTGTTTTTTCCTAATAACTTTTTTTATGGTTGCCCAATTAAGATCAAATTTGGTATGGTAGTTCAGTAGGCAGAAAGACATATTTTGATGCTAAGTTTGTTTATGTATGTCCCCTGGTTTGGAGCTGGGTGGTGGGGTAGATTCCTTAACTTTATGTAAGAATGCATTGGCAAAGAGAGATAACTGCATAAGATGTTCCCATTGTAAACTGAATGCTGCTATGAGTCCCTTGAGATTAATTAGCTTTCCTCCTGAAGAAAATCCAAAGCATTATCTTTATCTGTCAAATTGAGATGAATTACCACCTCTATCTGCAAGTGAAGTTTGTTTTGAAGTTAAGTCAATTTGGAATGATATGAACACTCAGATATGTGAATTTAAATATAAATGTTCATACTTTATTTTTGTTAAAATAGAGATTCTTTCATTGAATTCTAAAAACAAGAAATAGATTAAAGAAGATATATTTTTTATTTTTACTTTTTTTTCCCTTTATGTAAATTCAAGAATATTATTAATTTTTAAGGTAGTTGTATAAAAACCCCATTCTATCATTATAAATACTGAAAAAGTTCTTATACATGTTATAGTAACTTTAGAAGAAAAGGATGAGAGAGGTACAGTTAATCCCTTGGGATTAATTATCTAGCCTGCTACAGAAAATTTAGTAGGCTTATCTTTATCTGTCACTTTAAGATTAATGAAAACCTAAAATTGTCTGCAAATGCTGTTTGTTTTGAAGTTAAGGTCAAGTCTTCATGATATTGGATTCATTGAAGGCTGGCATTTTATATAACATAAGCTTCATTATTGTTTAAATATACATCCAATATTAAGTTTTTCTTTACTGCCTAATGTAAACACAGGATGAAAACCCAGGTTTCCCAAATTTGGAAACCCGATGGAAACATACGGGAATCGTGACATCAGTAGTTTCCATATAGTTTCCATTTTATGGAAACCACATAGTGGTTTCCACGTAGATTCCCGATATGGAAACAATCAACCTGTGGTTTCCCGTAAGTTTCCCAATATGGGAAACCCTGGAAACATGCAGTAGTGGTTTCCACGTAGATTCCCGATATGGAAACAATCAACCTGTGGTTTCCCGTAAGTTTCCCAATATGGGAAACCGCGGAAACATGCAGTAGTTGTTTCCACGTAGATTCCCATTATGGAAGTAATCAACCTGTAGTTCCCCGCATGTTTCCCAGATATTGAAAACAAGTATGCTGTGGTTTACACCTATTTTCCCGATAATAGACGTTTTGGAAATGTGTATCAAAAGAATAATTTAAAAAAAAAACTGTTTGTGTAATTCTGTGTAATAAAATTGAACATTCTGTGACCACCGTAAACCCAAATTAAATATTTTTTTTTTAACATTTTAGTCTCGGTAAAACTTATAAAGACACGTGAATTGGAATTAGTAGAGAAGATTTAATGCAACTTTCAATTTTAGAAAAAATCAGTGTAAACTGTTTAGATAAAATTCAATCATTGCGCTAACCCTTGTAATCGCGGGCACCTGTTCTCACGTGCCACAGGTGGAGACACGTGTCGCGAAGACACCTGCGACTGTGTATTTTTGTATATTCTATGTGATTTGAGAGGGTTTTGTACCTAAGGGGAACAATGGGCTGTGGTCAAGCATGTACATACACATAATCTCCGCAAACTCAGTTTAAATTTAGGTGATTATTGCTAGCCATTGATTTGATTTAAAAAAAATAATTTAAATTATCAATAAGATCACAAAATATTGATAAAATAAGGTACATTAATTTTAAGATGTTCAATGAGAGAAGAAAAAAAAAAGAACTGTATTTCAAGTTTTCATTACTGATTAAAAATCAAAATTTCCTAACCGTTGAAAAATTATATATACTTTTCTATCGGTCTAGAATAAATCTAAATTCTCGTTATGTGTACATGTTAAATCATAATTCTTTTTCAAATAAATTTGTAAGTGCATAGATAAATGAAATAAAATTTCTTAATCAGTAATTAACGAATCGTCCTTGTTTGACATCAATGTAAACTTCAAATATTGAAAACATAGAAAGAATTATTAATTATCGACTTTGTTGCCTGCTTAATTCGCAAATTGTTTATGAGAAAGGATGCAGATGGATATATTATACAACATAACAACTAAATTACTAATGTTTTGTGTGAAATTCGTATATCGTCCTCTACAAAGACATTGATAAGATAATACAGCAGAATAATATTCATATACAAAATTAATGAGTGTTAATAAATAACTTATTTTTTTATTTATATCTGTAAACAGACCCTGATGTAGTAAATGTCTTCATTTTTCGCAGGAAATTACAATAATGTTGGTCTTAAATGCATACATGCACGTACATGTATATTTAATTTAGCCATTTTGTACACAAAGACCAATGCTGGCTCTAAATTAATGAAGAAAAGTATACCGGTGTGATATTTATATAACATGATTTTCTTTTTCTTAAGAACAACGTATTCAGAAGAACTGCATGCTAAAAGAAAGAAAGAAAAAAACTCAATAATTTATTAATTGTCTTACACGTAGATGCTTAGCGAAAACTTAATATTTTAAATCGGGTATTGTGTTAAACAGAAGGTTACCCCTTTCAAATTTAAGCGTCCTCCCCTCCTTCAAAAAATGGAGAGAAAATAGTTTCTTTCGATATTTAGGTATAATATACTGATTTGGTGATTGTCAATACTTATACAAACATTTCTTTATATATGCCGTCCATTTCTTGATTTTTATACCCCTACATGTACCATTACTTACTTTAAAAAACTGCACTTAAAACCGTCTACTCAAACCACAGGCCTGTATTAAAGTAATTTCAGTTTGGGGCACAAACTTTACCAGAAAGTTCTTAACTAGCAAACCTTACCAGAAATTACCAGAAAAAAGTTATATATGAACAGGGCGGTACTGGCTGAACGGCTAAAGCCACGTGTATAATACAACCCTGCACATCAACGAGTATACACGGGCATTATTTTCCAACAAATAAGATGATCATATATTGACAAACTGTTACCAGTCACGTATAAAATTCTGAACGCAATGGACATGATTGTAGGTTACTTACAATAATTCTAAACTTATTTTAAATAATTATGTGTTTCAGGTCAGTAGCAACAGTTTCAAAAGTGGGGAGGGAGGGGGGGGTTACTTGCAAAAAAAAATCTGACAAGCCAAAAAAATAAATAAGAAGCGCATAACCATTTACTTTCACCCCTTGCCCCCCCCCCCCTCCGCATTCTACGGGCCGGTGTTTTCCAAATTAGAATACTGTTTTCCCTACCTTTGCTTAGATGAGGGACCTATATACTAGTAAATATAGGTCCCTGCTTAGATTTTGGTTCGTTTTTTCACCTTGTGTTTACTCTCCTTTTTTTTATAAATCAATTTTCAAATTTAATGTGAAAAATTCTGATACATTATAACGGTGTGAGAATTATTTTTAACTAAAGACAAAGATGTTTGAAGTAAAATATATAGCAACTAGATGAGATCTCGTTGCGAGCAACGAGTGGGTCTTCCGTCCGATTTTTGATAAGATGAGATAAGAATTTGACTGGGATTTTTGTTCAAATATAATAATATAAATAAATTGTTAAGACGAACAATTTTGCTTTAATAATGTTTACCAAAATATTGATCATTAAATTGTTATAGATTAAAGACTTTCAGCCGTTCTTGGCCCCTAATGTGAGAGGTCAGCCCCTTTTTCTTGATATCATCTTAAAGCTCTCATGATTTTGAACACTTTTTGTTCAACAACTATTCAGAAATTCTTTTTTGTTTTCGGGATATATGAAAAAGAAATATTAAGGACCGGCCCTTCAAGTCCTAAATGGGGACGTCTAGCAAAAATTCAAAGAGTGCATATTGTTCAGAATATTATTTGAACGTCTTCTGTTCAATACTGTTTATCAGAATATCCTTCCTTTTCAAGACATATTGCGCCAAGGATTATGCAATTTGGCCCCCTAAAGACCCCTTTTTTCGTAACATATGATATCAACATCATGTTATTTAGATGAAGTGTGTGAAGAAGAACTATTTCGCTTCAGTAATATATTACAAAATATTGATCATTAAAGAGTTATTGATTGTATACTTTCGGCGCCTCTCGGCCCCTTATTTAAGGGGTCAGACCCTTTTCCTTGATATTACCTTAAAGTTCTTATGATTTTTTTTACACTTTTTGTTCAACAACTAGTCAGAAATTCTTTTTCATTTCTGAGATATTCGCAAAAGAAGTATTTAGGGGCCGGCCCTTCAACTCCTTAATGGGGACGTTTAGCAAAAAATGAAAGGTTGCATCTTGTTTAGAACATTATTTTGGACATCTTTTGTTCAATATTGCTTATCAAAATATTTCCCACTTTTGAGATATAAAGCGTCAAAGATTTAGCATTCTGGCCCCTTATGGCCCCTAATTATGTAACAAATGATGTAAATATCATAATATATAGTCGTACATTGTTGAGATACACATTTTTGCTTCAGTAATGCATTACAAAATATTGATCGTTAAAGAGTTATTGTTCAAAGACTTTCGGCCCCTCTCAGCCCCTATTGTGAGGGTCCAGCCCCTTTTTCTTCATATCACTTTAAAGCTCTCATGATTTTGAACACTTTTTGTTCAACAACTAGTCAGAAATTCTTTTTCGTTTCTGAGATATTTGCAAAAGAAGTATTTAGGGGCCGGCCCTTCAACTCCTTAATGGGGACGTTTAGCAAAAAATGAAAGATTGCATCTTGTTTAGAACATTATTTTGGACATCTTTTGTTCAATATTGCTTATCAAAATATTTCCCACTTTTGAGATATGAAGCGTCAAAGATTTAGCATTCTGGCCCCTTATGGCCCCTAATTATGTAACATATGATGTGAATATCACAATATATAGTCGTACATTGTTGAGATAAACATTTTTGCTTCAGTAATGCATTACAAAATATTGATCGTTAAAGAGTTATTGTTCAAAGACTTTCGGCCCCTCTCAGCCCCTATTGTGAGGGTCCAGCCCCTTTTTCTTCATATCACTTTAAAGCTCTCATGATTTTGAACACTTTTTGTTCAACAACTAGTCAGAAATTCTTTTTCGTTTCTGAGATATTTGCAAAAGAAGTATTTAGGGGCCGGCCCTTCAACTCCTTAATGGGGACGTTTAGCAAAAAATGAAAGATTGCATCTTGTTTAGAACATTATTTTGGACATCTTTTGTTCAATATTGCTTATCAAAATATTTCCCACTTTTGAGATATGAAGCGTCAAAGATTTAGCATTCTGGCCCCTTATGGCCCCTAATTATGTAACATATGATGTGAATATCACAATATATAGTCGTACATTGTTGAGATAAACATTTTTGCTTCAGTAATGCATTACAAAATATTGATCGTTAAAGAGTTATTGTTCAAAGACTTTCGGCCCCTCTCAGCCCCTATTGTGAGGGTCCAGCCCCTTTTTCTTCATATCACTTTAAAGCTCTCATGATTTTGAACACTTTTTGTTCAACAACTAGTCAGAAATTCTTTTTCATTTCTGAGATATTTGCAAAAGAAGTATTTAGGGGCCGGCCCTTCAACTCCTTAATGGGGACGTTTATCAAAAAATTAAAGGTTGCATCTTGTTTAGAACATTATTTTGGACATCTTTTGTTCAATATTGCTTATCAAAATATTTCCCACTTTTGAGATATGAAGCGTCAAAGATTTAGCATTCTGGCCCCTTATGGCCCCTAATTATGTAACATATGATGTGAATATCACAATATATAGTCGTACATTGTTGAGATAAACATTTTTGCTTCAGTAATGCATTACAAAATA